TCCCTGGTCAGATTTATTCCTAAGTATTTTATCTTTTTAGGGGCTATTGAAAATGGTATTGATTTCCTGATTTCCTTTTCATCGTTGTCCTTACTCAAATTGGTAGATTAAAAAGAGGTATTATGAAGGTTTGGAGAGGATGAGGGAAATGAGCAGTGAGGGTGGGAATGGAAATAAGCACAACATTTCTGAGGGCCACTGGGGCAAAAACTTTGACTCAGCATGGACACTTTTAGGCGTTTATTTCAGAAACATTTTCACAAGTCCATAAGAATACGTGTACAGTGAAATGCACTGAAGCATCTATTCTGATAGCAAGTACGAGAAACGTCCACACGTCCACCCACGGGGCTGGTTAAATAGATGATGGTTTATACACACAGAGGCAGTGGTGGTTCAGTGGTAGAGCTCTCACCTTCCACGTGGGAGACCCAGGTTCAACTACCTGCCAATGTACCTAATTCACAGCCACCACACGTCCATCACGGAGGCCTGTGGGTTGCTATGATGTGAACAGGTTTCAGTGGAACTTTTAGACTAAGACAGAGTAGGAAGAAAGGCCTGTGATCTACTTCTGAAAATCAGCCAAAGAGAACCCTATGAATTGCAATGGTCCAATCTGGGGATGGCTCAGAACTGGACAGCGTTTCATTCTGTCGTGCATGGGGTCACCATGAGTTGGGGGCTGACTTAGGGCGGCTGACAACAACGACAATATACAAATGACCAGGGGTGGGGAACAGACTCTCAACGAATTCCTTTCTTAGGTTAAGATTGTGAACGACGTGACTATAGCTCCTTTCATAAAAATAAAATAAAATTTAAACAGCAAACAAAATGTCATGCTAGTTCTCTCCATATAACCTAGTTGTTTGGACTTTATTTATTGCACTTTAAAGCCAAAATAATAGGGGACAATTATATTGATTCTTTTTCATGAAATTTTTGAGTTGGAAAGATCTAAGAGAATACCTAGTGTGACTGGTAGAATCAATGGCCCCCTAAGTTGTCCATGTCCTAATCCCTGGAACCTGTGAACATGTTAGGTTACCTGATGCATGGTGTGGAATGACCTCACCAAGAAGCAATCTGGCCTTTTGGTTCTGGTTCCTGAGACCCCTGAGCGTTTGTTACTTTTGCCCAAATGGGCTGGGGAGCCCAGCAC